GGCACTCACTCTGGCCTGGGCAACAAAGCGAGACTCTGTCTCAAAAAAAAAAAAAAAAAAAAAGTCTGTACTCAGCCAGTGGCAAGGAGGATGGGGAAGATACAGGTAGGAGTGAGTTCATAGGACTTGGCGATTAATAGGAAGTGAGGAGGGATAAAGGAAAAGGGAGGAAGAGCCCAGGATGACCCCCAGATTCCTGATCTGGGTGCATGAGAGTATAATGGGGTCATTCATTGTCACTGTGAGCACTGGGAGAGAAACGTGTGGAAAAAATCAAGCTCAGTTCTAGGAATGGTGAATTTGTGCTGCTTGTGGAATATCCAAGGGTAGCTACTTTCTATGGTCTGGGCTCAGAGAGAGGTCTTGGCAAGTGACAGATCCAGATGTCAGCAAGGAGGGTCCTTAAAGTCATGGGAGCAACTGAGATCATCTGGGGAAGTGAAAAAGGAAGGAAAGGGTCCCAAAGCAAGTGATAACCACTCATGGTTCCTGCTGTCAAGGTGCCGTCCCCCCTGCAGGAGGGGTTTCGAACACTGAGAAGCTCCATAATACAAGGCAGACTGAGTTCTGTATTTTAATGAGGTATGGCCTGAGAGTTCGGGGCTCTGGCGAGGGGAGCGGTGAGGGCTAACTTGCTGGGACCACGCTTGCTGCTGGTTAATTCAGCTGAGGGGAAAAGGGAGACCTGAGCTGCAGTTGTGAGATCTAACCACAAGGTGGCACCTTGGCATCTCCTTGTGCCACATTTCTCACCTGCAAACACCCAGCCAGGCGGATAGCAGGAGGTTGTCAAAAGCTGTGAGGGGGAGGGTGGCTGTGTCAACAATAAAGGAAGCAGACCTGAGTTTTTACTTAAGTCCAAATGCAAGCTCATTTTTTTTTTTTTTGAGACAGAGTCTCACTCTGTGGCCCCAGGTAGAGTGCAGGGGCATCATCAAAGCTCACTGCCACTTCAAACTCCTGGGCTCAAGGGAGCCTCCTGCCTTACCCTCCCAAGTAGCTGGGACTACAGACACATCCCACCATGCCCAGCTAATTTTTCTATTTTTGGTAGAGACAGTTTCTCACTTACTCAGGCTGGTCTTGAACTCCTGACTCCAGAGTGCTAGGATTACAGGCATGAGCTACTGTGCCTGGCCAATAAGCTCATTTTTTGAAAAGAGAGGGAAAAGAGCAATATGCCAAGTATGCCAATGGGAGTCCATGTTGGTTGAGCATGCACACCTCTGTATCAATGTATGTCCTAGTTCCTATGTGCACCTGTATTTTCCATGAAAGTCTCTGTCCATGTTGTGTGCCCCATGTTCCCAGAAGTGTCTTCATGTGCACCCCTGTGCCTCCACATGTGTGCCTGTGTCCCAGAGGACAGGCAACCAGAAACCCCCACCTCCATTCCTCAGAAAGTGAGGAGTCCTTTGGTCATGAAAGAGGACCCTGAGTCTGAAACCATGGGACTCTGACATTTTGGGGGGCCCCAAAGTGGCAAAAGACTATAGAGGAAAACATCCCTCTCCCCAGTAGCCATAAGCAAAATCACTCATTTATCACATGATCTCCTCAGATGATACCTGGGTTCTACATCTAGCTAGCCAGGGTCATGTTCACATAGAGCCTTCCCAAAGGATCTTAATAGACTGAGGAATTCATAAAGTCATCCATTGATTCATTTATCATTTACAGTATTTAATAAGCATTCATTGACCACCTGCCATGCACCAAGGGCAGTGCTGGGCACATTTTCTGTTTCTCCTTTAATCTTGTGAAGTAGTTCATGAAAAAAGTTAATCATAACTGCAAAGTGTCAGGAATGCTAGTTAGAGTGTTTGAACTTTTTTTCCTGAAGATGGGCCATAGAGAGTCCCAGGAGAGTTTTCGGTAGGGAAGTAACATGGTCTAGTCTCTCTCATTGCTGGAGTTGGAATCGGAAGACATGAATAAACTCAGGGGACCAGTTAGAGGGAACCACCAGGCAGTGGTTCTCAAACTTTAGTGTGCTTTGGAGTCACCTTAAGGACACTAAAACACAGATTGCTGGGCTCCACCTCCAGAATTACTGATTCAGGAGGTCTGAGGTAGAATCCAAGAATTACAACTTCTAGAAAGTTCCAAGATGTTGTTGGTGATGCTGACCCAGGGACTACACTTTAAGAACCACAGGAGTATGACAAAGAGTGAGGCAGTTTAAGGTGCTGACAGAGAGGTGCCATGTGCCTTCTGGGATACCCACCTCAAGTCTCCTGCATATACTCCCATGGATAGATGTTTATGGGTCAGAAGTGGCAACACAGCATGAGGATTAGCTTGTGGGGATGAAGGAAATGTCCCAGACTCTTCTGGGATGACTAGCAAGTTTTGAACTGGAGGATGGTAGTGCCATTTCCGGAACCATAGAACACAGTAGGAGAAGCAGGTTGGGTTGGTGATGGAGATGGAGGAGATGTTGATTTCAGTTTGGGACTTGGAAAATTTCAGATGGCTGCAACAAGCTCTCTGGGGAACAGATCCAGCTGGACGTTGTGACTATGGGTCTGGATCTCTAGTGAGAGACACACAGACTAGAGAGAACATGTTTGGGAGATAACAGTGGACAGGTAGGCATTAAAGACTTGAGAAGGGGCTAGCTCACTCATGAAGTGTGGATAGGAAGAAAAGGCAAAAGTTTCTACTCTGAGAATGAATAAATGTCATTAAGGTAGGTGAAAAGAGAGGAGACAGAAAAGGAGACAGAAATGGTCAGAGTAGGGGGAGAATAAGGCAAGAAGGAGGGATCTCAAGCTGCAGGGAAGTTGGGTGAGGAAAGCCAAGAAAGCCACCAGATATGCAGCGCATCCTGTCACCCAAAAGGGTGACAAGAGAGAGCAGCCTGCTGCTCAGCCTGCTGGAGAGAGCAGATGGGTCCTCAGAGCTGGGCAGACATCATTCCCCTCGCTACTCCTGGACTCTTGCAAAGGGGTCCCCCAACTTGCATGCCTCGCACTGACACCGCAGACTCACATACCCACATATGTAGATACACACACAAACACACTCCTGACCTCTGACCTGTCCTAGGCAGGAAGGTTGCAGAGCTGCCCAATTCTGCTTCATCCACTACCCTCACTGGAGGTTCCAGCCTCTGGAAAGTTCCTAGCAAGGAGTCCTTGACTGCTAGTCTCCTTTTCCCACGGCACCCCAGGCTGAGATACCCAGGCCTGGGCTCTGCCCCCACTATGTGCCTTCGGGACACCCAGCTGGAATCATACATTCCATGGATTAATGTTATCACCATCACCTCCCCCTCTTTTCTATTCTCTCAATTTTTTTTACCTTTACCTTCTACTACTTCACTAAAAAGGGACCTAAGCAAACAACTAGCCCCCCTGCCTTGCCCCACTTTTTTGTTGTTGTTAAAGTTGCAGAAACTGAGACAAAGAGGCAAAGGGACCACCCAGGATCACACAGTCACTCAGAGTCAGGACTAAATTCTAGGCCCCAGAGTCTGAGGCAATACAGAACAGTGCTTCTGAGCACGGAGAGAGACCAGTTCTGCCACTCAGCTAGCGGCTTGACCTTGGGCAAGTCATTTAACCTCTCTGTGCCTTACTCCTCCCCTGAGAATGGGGGTGATATGGGTATCCATCACATAGGGCCATTGTGAGGGTTGAATAACTCAATACTCATAAAGCACTTTGCTCAGAGGCTAGCACAGTCCGGAATAAGTGTTTGCTGTGATTATTTCTACTATGCCCTGGTCTGTGCTGCTTGGTTTTTTAAACATCTTCCCTCTGCTTTCTTGATTGTCATTCTCCTTAGCATTTGCCTGTCTTTAATTCCTGTCTCTGCTTGTCAGGAGGGGAGGGTTGAGTTTTGGAGAAAAAAGAGGGAGTGACACAGATGCCGGAACATGCTTGACAGCTGGCCAGTGCCTGCCGTGGTAACACACAAACGCATAGCCTGTGCACCTTAGTGTGACACTCGCACCCCTCCACGTGAGTCAGTTACACACAGATTCACTCCACAGGCCCTGGACTCAAAGGCCCACACTCAGTCAACCCAGGCCTCTCTGGCTTCAAAAACATCTTGGCCCCTTCCCAGGTGGAGCTCATGCCCACGGCCCAACCACCACCACCACTGTCTGGCCAGTTTGTGTCTTAAACTTCCTCAGACCCTGGCTTGGCCTTGAGGGTTACCAGCCCAGGAAGTCTGAGTGAAGTGGGTTTTGATCCATAAAGGTTTTGATCCATAACCATTGGGGAGAGACTGTGACGGACCCCCTACATGCACGCACGCTGACACGTGTGCACATGAGCCGATGAGCTCGAGTCTGCAGCTCACAAACTTCTCCCACGTTCACAATTGCCCACCTCATCCAAAGTCTGGTGATGTGGTTAGAGAAAAGACAGATACCCATTTTACAGACGAGGAAGCTGAGGCCAGAGAAGAGTGGTGCTTTGCTCAAAAGTAAGGATGTGATAGAGCGGAGAAAACGTAGGGACCCCACGTCGCAGCCTCGAATCCGTCTCTGTTTCACCGCAGCTGCGAATTGCGAGCTGCGAGCCCAGAAGGCAGATCAGATCAACGCGGGTTTAATTCACGCCCCCTACCCACCCTACCCAGTCCGGCCAAAGCCACGCCTCCCCCTTGGTGGCGGCCAGGGAAAAGGGAGAGCATGGCCACAGCTTGTCTCTTTAATGCGCGCCCCCGGAGGCCCGGCGCGCCCCCGCCACTATAACTGGAGTGCATGGAGCAGGCTGCGCTCAGAGGGAGAAGGGCGGGCGCTGGGCACCCGTTGACAGACTTTTCCAAGTGCGATCCGCACCCGTCCGTCCCGGCTCCATGGACCCGCCCGGGGACATCCCCCGCTGAGGACCCCAGGCTCGCTGGGATCCCGGCTGGGCTGCACCCGGCTGCTGCGCTGTGCACCCCGCGGGCTGTGCCGGCCCCCGCGCCTTTCCCGCAGCGCTCGCCGTCGGGCGAAGGCTCGGCCGCCGCCACGCCTCGCGCCCAGCGCCACCCGCCCCATGCTGGTGCACGCTTACTCCGCCATGGTGAGTAGTCTCGCGTCGGGGCACCCGGGCATCCTCGGCCAGGCATCGCGGAGCCTGCGTGCTGGACCTTTCAATCCTCCGACCTCGCGCCAACGAAGTCTCGGAGGGAGGGGGCCGCGGGGACTCCGCCGGCGGAGAAAGCGGGCGCAGGAGACCGCTGTCCCCAGCCTGAGGCTCCCGCGCCTATGGGTCACTCGGAGATAGACCTGGGGGCCCAGGAAGCGGGAGGGACGGCAGCTGGACACTCGCGAGCTCAGGAGGATCCTTTCGGGGTGAGGTCCTTTCAGCTGCCAGTGTGTCGCCTAACGCTCCCCTCTCCTTCCCCAGGAGCGCCCCGACGGGCTGGGCGCCGCGGCCGGCGGGGCCCGCCTGTCGTCCCTGCCCCAGGCGGCCTATGGGCCGGCAGCACCTCTCTGCCACACGCCGGCCGCCGCTGCCGCCGCCGCCGACTTCCAGCCCCCCTACTTCCCGCCGCCCTACCCGCAGCCGCCACTGCCCTATGGCCAGGCGCCCGACGCCGCTGCCGCCTTTCCCCACCTGGCTGGGGACCCATACGGGGGCCTGGCGCCCTTGGCGCAGCCGCAGCCTCCGCAGGCCGCGTGGGCCGCGCCCCGCGCCGCCGCCCGCACCCACGACGAGCCGCCCAGTCTGCTGGCACCGCCCGCCCGCGCCCTGGGCCTTGACCCGCGCCGTGACTACGCCGCCGCGGTGCCCCGGCTCCTGCACGGCCTGGCCGACGGCGCGCACGGCCTGGCGGACGGACCCCTCGGCCTTCCCGGGCTGGCGGCGCCGCCCGGCCTGGAGGACCTGCAGGTGAGGCCCCGGGGGGCCGGGATGGGCCAGGACTGGCCGCGGTGATTTAGCTCGGTTGGCTGGAGGCAAAAAATGATAAATGCAGGAACCTGACTTTTCTCCCAGCCCACCGCTTCTCACTGGTGACTCGGAGGATGCGTCCCACCTCCTGGCTTCAACGCTGCCTGGCCGTTAAAGCGGCCGGCACTGAGTCCGTGCGTGGTGCCTGGATGGCGGCAACCCTGGGCCGGACCGAATCACTTCTTTTCCCCCAGCTGGACGGCTGAGCCACGTAGGGCATACACGGGGCAGCCTGCCCCTGGGGCAAAGAGAGGCACGGTAGTTTCCCGTCTAAGGTTCAAATTTTCCTTTAAGCACGGCTCGGCGAGATACCCAGGGCTCCAACTCGGCCGCGGATGGTGCCGAGTCTGGCGACTCCTGGTCCCGCCCGTCGCCGCCCCCGGCGATGGTGGTGCGCGTTGGGCGGGGCCGACAGAGACGGGGGCAGCAGGAGCTTGGGAAATGACTAGTGACTGGGTCCACACGAGCCCTCACCGCCGTGCTCTCCTATTTGCAGGCCATGGATGAGCCGGGAATGAGCCTCTTGGACCAGTCCGTGATCAAGAAAGGTAAGGAATGGCGTGCATCTGCCAGGGCAGAGTCGGGCGAGATCGTGCAGGCCCTAGGCGCACAGACCCATTTTCTGCAGCACATCCTGTGTCTCCTGTGTGTCGCCAGGCTCAGTGTCCCGCAGGCACTCTTCCTGGCCCGGTAGAGGGGCAGCGAAGGCAGCGGGCCTGTCCAGAGGCTGGGCAGCGGCACGGGCTTGCAGAGCTGGCCCGGGACCCTGCGGCCTGGGGTGAGCGCGCCGGGGCCTGGGGTGAGCGCGCCGGGGCCTGGCCTCTCTCGGCCGAGGGGAGAGCGCTCTTGTGGATCTGGAGTTGATTTGCAGAACAAGTTAAACCACTTCCCTGTTTCCTCAGGGGTGGGAATGGAAGTGTTGTTCCCACAGATTTCGGTAAATGATTTTCACTTTACACAGCCTTAGCATTTTGGAGCCTTGTAGGTCCTTTCTGCCCCTGCCTTCCCAGCAGGGCGTTGGGGGCCTCTCCTTTCCTCCGGGGGAATTTTCTTTGTGGGAGCCTTTTCCCCGCATTTAGGCTTAGGAGAGCTAGTGTGTGAATACCATACCGTGTGTTAGGCTGTGTGTGTGCAGGTAAGGGCCTGGGTGTCTTTGTCCGTGTGAGGTCATCGTCCTGTGCTTGTCTAATAAGGTCCTTTCCTGGGTGTCTCAGTATTTCTTGGCATGTGTATCTCTGTTTCTGCGAGTGTATTTGTGATGTGTGTTTATGTATATTGTACATTTCTCTGCGTTTGGGGTCTCAATGTGTGTGACAGTATCTCTGTTGGGTCCTGGAATTTTTATTTGGTGTCTGAGGATTTCTAAGCATGCGAAGTTCCCTCCCTGTGTATATGGGAGTATCTGTGTGTCTTCGCAGTGAGACCCATCTCAGAGTGGATTTTCGAGCCTGAGGACTGGATCGAGTTCTGGCAGTGCCAGGGAAAGGCAGACAGACAGAGGGAAAGAGAAAAACACACAGAAACAGAGATTCAGAGGGGCCCAGGTGTTGAGCCAGATCCTTACATTTGTGGCTGGTCCCAAATTTGGAGGCGCACTTGAGCCCCTCAGTGCTGGGGCAGAAGCTCCTTCCGGTTTGGCTCAAGTTGTTTTTCAAAGGAATGAATTTAAGCCTGGGCTCTATTTGTCCTCCACACGTTCTCAGCTGAGGCTGGGGTGGAAGTGGGACTAGGGGACAGGGGCTGGACCTCCAGGAACTGGGGCTGGGCTACCAGAAGCCGGGAGTTGGCTGGGTGGCTGGGAGTATGTAGAGGGGAGTTGAGGGGACAAGCCTCTCAGAACTTGGTGGGGTGGGGGCAGGAATTGGGGCTGTGTCACCTGGAGCGGGGGTGGGAGGGACTCTGGGAATCTGGCTGCACACTGGACCCAGCTGGCCAGCAGTTCATTGGCTTAGTGGACAGTAAGTACCCTTCTTGAACTCAAAGGAAGGGAGAGCTTGCTCCGCAGTTGGCAAGAGCCTGCCATTGGGCTTTGTTCGCTGGAAACATGACCATGGTGGCAGTCCCCAGTTCCCTACTCCTGCCAGGACTCAAGGGGCTGAGGGCCTAGATTCATTGACTCTCTGAGGAAGGCCAAGACCCTGCGTTTTGGGAAGGGCCTTGGGGACCTCTGCCCTGGGAAAGGATAGAAGGATCAGCTGTTGCTCTGAGCACCTTCACCCAGAAACCTCCCTTGGGCCAGAGCTGAGACAACAGACAGGATGCCAGGAGGGACTGTAATTGCCCAAGAGTTGGTTTTCTCTCAAAGGACACGAGCTTTCCAAACTCCAGGAGTCCTAGGTGTGCGCCAGAACTCCCAAAGGCAGTCCAAACAACTCAAGGAGCGAGGCCCGGACTGTCCCGGGTGCGGCGCACTGGCTGCCTGGGGCGGGTGTGGGGCGGCGCGGACTCGGGCGTGCACAGCGGCGGGACCCCACGCCCGCCCGCCCGCCGGTGGCCGAGGGGAGCGACCTGAGCTGGGGATGAGCCCCGGGCGCCCCTGAGTTGCAGCCCGAGGCGCTGCGGCGAAGGGGGAAGGGGCGGGAGCCGCGGGCCGCCCGCGGAAGGAAGCGCGGGTTGCGAGCCGCGAGCGCGGCCCTGCTGCGGGCGCTTTCCGGCTTCGCAGACGCGGAGCTGGATCCGCCGTCCCAACCTCGCGGGCGGCGCGGGCGGCAGGCGCAGGGGAGCCGCCGCGGCCGGGCAGGTGGCCGGCTGGCACCCCGCTCCCCGCCGCGCGGGCGGCCGTCTCCCTCGGCCCGCGCCGTCGCAGCGGGACTGCGGCCTCGTGCCGGCCCGCGGGGTCCCCTTGGCGGCTGGCGATGATTAGCGCCCGTCTTCGCCTCAGGCCGTTCCGACGGCGTCGGAGCCCGGGTGGTGCCCCGAAGGCCTCCGGCGCCCGCGGGTGAGCGCGGCACCCGCCCCCAGGCCCGGGATGCAGACAGTCGCCCGGCGCCAGCGGAAGCGCGCGGTTCTCCCGCTCCTCCCGGCTTCGGACGGCCTGGCGGGCGGGCGGGCACCCAGGCAGCCCCGGCCCCCAGGAGAGGAGCCTGGGAGCTCTGGGGCCCAGACCTGGGGTGTGAAGTCTTCGCTGCCTGCGGGCCCCTGCCCGGGACAGAGCGGGAGGCACCGCCCGCGCCCACCACTCGCCTCCGGGTCGCCCGCTCGCTGCGGCCGCGTGTGGGGCGGAGCGCAGCAGACAGGCCTGAGGCCGCCCGGGGTAAGTGGGGCGCCGTTTTCTGCCCACATTTGTCACCTTCAGTTTTACAGCCTGTCCCAGACACACAGGAAGTAGGCGGGACTGGTGAGCAGGGTCTGTAGGGGACACGGTGGAGCTCAGAGGAGGAGCGGTGAGTGCCTGACCCCTCCTACAGGACAGAGATTTGAACCAGGCTCAGTAGGTGCTCAGTGGGTGTTTGCCGAATGAATGAGTGATGGATTTTGCAGTCTGAATGCTTTGGGAGGAGGAGTGTGTAGCAAGGGCTACTGTCATCACACTAGGCACAACATGTGCCGATGCCCTCCCTGCGGAAAAGCTAGACAGGTTAAAAAGCTTAAAAAGTTGTGTGAGTTTCAGGTTATACAGACAGTGCTGGAGGGGAGTTTATTCAGGGATGAGAATTGAGATGTATCCCTCCTTCCCTCGGGAGGAGAGTGGGTGGTTGCCTACCTGGGGGTCGTGAACCCTTCTCCACAGGCTCCTTTGCCCAATCTCAGGGGCTTTCCAGGACAGGAGCCGATGTAAACAATCACCCTCTCTCCTGCTGTCCTTGGCCCTGGGGAAGGAGGGAGGTGGGAAGGGTCTGGGCTTCCAAGTGAATCTCCAAGCAGTCCCAGACCTGGGTGAAGTTGAATGAGGTATTCACCTCTGGGGCAGAATTTAAGAGGGTGTCAAAAAACTCAGTAATCAAGATGAATAATATCTTAATGCAATATTTTAAAATAAAAAAATTGCAAAAAATCCATGACAAAATATCAAGAATATACATGAAAACAAATCTGATCTTGCACTTCCACAATCCTTCCTCACTTGCCTCCTAGCCTACTGTCTGCCCCAGAAAGCAACTAAAAAAGCAGTCCCCATGCAGATAGAGCTTGGACTTTATGAGGACAGTGGGAGCCATGGAAGAGCAAGGAGCAGGGGAGTGAAGGGTAGGAGCAATATTTAAAAGAAACCTTCTGGAATTTAATAAGAAGGAAACTTAACCAGCAGGTTCCACTGGGGGAGATGAGAAGACTCAAGTGGGCTTGGGGGAAGGTCACCACCCCTCCTGTCTGCCTTATTCCAGCTGTTCCCACCACCCAAGCTTTGGACAGTGCTGCCATAAGTGCGGTCTAGGGAATCATATGCATCAGAATTCTCTGGGGATGCTTGTTAAAAATTCGGATTTCTGGGCCCCACCCCATATCTACTAAATGAGAATCCCTGGAAGTATGACCCTGGAACTTGCATTTTTTAAATGGATTTATTGAGATAAAATTTATATACCTAAAATTCCCCCATGGTAAGAATATAATTTGATGATTTTTATTAAATGTACAGAATTTGTATAACCATTACCACAATCCATTTTGAGATATTTCTGTCAACCCCCCAAATTCCTTCATTCCCATTTGTAGTTAATTGCTATACTCACCCCAACTCTTAGGCAACCACTGATCTGCTTTCTGTCCCTAAATTTGCATATTCTGGACATGTTATATAAGTAGGATGTATAAATACGCAGGCTTTTGCATCTAGCTTCTTTTACTTAGCATAATGTTTTCCAGACTCGTCCCTGTTATAGCATATATCAGTAGTTTGTTTCTTTTTATTGCTGAGTAGTATGCCATGGTAGGGATGTAACATATTTTGTTTATTCATTGGTCCAGGAGATGGGCACTTGGGTTGTTTCACTTTTGTGCTATTATGAATAATGTTGCTATGAACATTCATATACATGCCTTTGTGTAGACATGTTTTCATTGCTCTTGGGTAAATTCCTAGGAGTGGAATTGCTGGATTGTATGGTAAGTTGATGTTTAATTTTTAAGAAACTGAAGCTGTTTTCTAACATGGCTATACTGTTTGACATTCCTACCAGCAATGTGTGAGGGTTCCAGTTTCTCCATATCCTCAGCTACACTTGGAATTTTGATTACAACTATCTACAAGTATCTCAATATAGTTTTTTTTTTTTTTGAGACAGTCTCACTCTGTTGCCCAAGCTAGAGTGCTGTGGTGTCAGCCTAGCTCACAGCAACCTCAAATTCCTGGGCTCAAGCAATCCTTCTGCCTCAGCCTCCTGAGTAGCTGGAACTATAAGCATGCGCCACCATGCCCGGCTAATTTTTTCCATATATTTTTAGTTGGCCGATTAATTTCTTTCTATTTATAGTAGAGATGGGGTCTCGCTTTTGCTCAGGCTGTTCTCAATCTCCTGACCTTGAGTGATCCTCCTGCCTTGGCCTCCCAGAGTGCTAGGATTACAGGCGTGAGCCACCGCGCCCGGCCTCAACATAGTTTTAATATGTG